ATATTTCCATATTGCTTCATGTGCAGGTTGAAGCAAAAGAAGTTTCCTTCTGTTACAAAGCTTTCCCAATCTAAACATACTCGTTTGTGAGAGAAAGGTTTACTTGATCATAAAGGATTTTTCTCCACCAGCTGATAAGATTCGTAGTTTGTAATTTGTTTCTCATAAGTTGTTTGTCTTACAAAAGTTAAGTATTGCTACTTCCACAAAATGGTTTATTCTTTACATGATTTAGAATCCTATTTTATAAATTTGCGATCTCATATTTCTGTTTTGAGATGTAATCAATTCAAATAAAATTTTAGATGAAATTTGGTAAATAAAATTGATTTATTTGGCCAAGATAATGGCCTTGATTGGTAGAATGATGAAAAAGCAAAAAGAAGTATGCTCTTATCAATGTTATGAACAATGATTGGTAAAGTTTTTGATGATTAATATATAAATTAGATATCATATAAAATTAGTATATGATATATAATTTGTTTATTTCTGAATAATATAGATATATTATATTTTAATATAATAATTATTATATTTTAATCGACAATGATGAATTGTATTTAATTATATTTTAAATGTGAAATATTTAATATTTTTGAAAATACAAATTTTGTTTTTGGATATAAATATAACTTTGTGTTATTATTAAATAAAATAACTTAATTATATTAAATTATTTGAATTGTTACATATTCTAAATACAAATACTTTACAAAAAATTTAATATGAAAATATTGGTAAAAAACATTGAGAGAGTATTTGTCTGCTTATAGAATGTTAGAGGAACTTAGATTTCTATAGATTTGTCGATTTTAAAAATTGTGAAAATTTATTAAATTTTCTCAAAAATTTATAAGGAATTTGTATATGATAAGATTAACGTACTATCATGATTTTAAGCCTAATGGTAAGAGTTTACTATAACAAGTCCAAAATTAAGATACAGTTTCCTCATTATCATTTCGCAATTACTTATATTGTAACATGATATGAAGTGAGCTTATTCCTGGGGATGTTGGTTCTCATTATAGGTTCAGACAGGGAGCATACAAGAAAAGTCAAATGTTTTGACAAAAGGTGATGGTTCTGCTGATATGAAAAAATATCACCTTTAGGATTTTTGAGCAGTTTTCCATAGTTTTATTCTTCAGAACACACAATTTTCTTATCTTTCATTGTTTAATGTGACAGTACTATGGAGATGATATACTTCTCTAACCTGAAGGCCAGCAGTGGCCAGTACATTGGGGACTTTTTTTTAACGTCCCTTCAGTGTATGTTATGCAAACCAAAGTAAACATTTGTTTTAATCTTTACATTTTTAGTCCCATAAAATTGTCATACATATATGCAAATATGTAACAGAGCAATCACACTGTCTCCCTAAATGTTCATATATTGCAGGTACAAAAAAAAAGAAACAAGTTATTCGATTCAGAGAACGAACCGCAATCTTTTTGAATTGGGAAAGCCATTAGCTGATCAAGTAAATTACACATGAAAGGGAAACGTAATCGATCACTCAGTTCCATTCACTGAAGATGTTAGGGACGAGAATGATGAGAGATTGTTCTTAAACTGTGTCAAGAGCTTCTTAGCAAACATTCCAAGACATGATGATTACATATGTTGTTGAGGTAAAGTACGTGAAAATTTTGCTTTTTAAAGATGCATTGATGATGTGTCTCTAATATGTTTCACCACTACCCATGTTTCTCAAAACAATGGAATTTAACATCGACAAAACTGGCACATCATGGGAAGAAATGCTCAAATGGAGGAATTAGTTTGGAGCAGATCGCATTATATAGGTAACTCGATGGTATATAGAGTCAATAGGTCATAGTAAGCCCATGCTAATAAAGTGTTTCGTTTTCTTGCTCAAAACATGACTATAGTTTCAAAGAGTTAGAGAAAGTCATAGTGCAGTATATTTAAAGGCATCTTGCAGTTGATAAAGATGGGAGACCTATCTATATTGAAATACTTAGAATTCCATGTTTATAATTTGGTGTTATATTCAGCCGTTGGAGTTGTTCGTCCTTCTGCTATAAAACAAAGTTCAACAAATGCTAAAATAATTAACAAAACATTATTAATAAAATATTAAAAATTAAATAAATATCATTATAAATTGGAAATCTATTATAAACTAAAACAAACACGTATTATAAAACAGAATCTATTGTTAAATAAAATATATTAATTATTATCTATGATATTATTGAAACTAGTTATATAGTACTTTAAAATATACATTTTTACAATCTTATCACCTTACATTAAATTTCAATTAATTTAGTTTGGATATGGATTAATTAATTATCGTGAGAAAATTAATTAATGTAATAATATTAAAGTTTGAAACTCTTAGAAAAAAATGTATAAATTATTTTATTTTATATTTTCTTCAATTATATCAAACTGAAATAAAAATTAGAAGAAAATATAAATTATTACACTTTCTTAAATGTTTATTTAACAATTTTGTGTTCACTACAAAACTTTCTTTCAACTCAAATCCACAAAATTTAATAAAATTTACAATATCATCTTTCCAAAAAATATTTTTTTCTTTTCAATATAAAGTGAAATTTCAAATGTTTTATATAATTAAAATATATTTTAATATACAATAAATTTAGTGTAAACTCACCCTTCCGTAGGACGGACCAACCACTAGTGATTATTTCTATTTCTTAATATATATATATATATATATATATATATATATATATATATTTGTGATTATTTTGAACATTCAAATCGATCTTTCAAAACTTTACAGGTTTTTTGGGTTATCGATTTGGGATGACTAATAAATTTTTCGATTTTGATATGTTTTGTACCATTACCACTATACAAGACCTCTTCTGATATTTTTTTTACATTTCAGACCAGGTATAGATAGGGTTTTTGTATTTTGGATTGGGGACTTTGGGTTATGAATTTTATACTTAAACATACTTTAAATAAGAGAAAATACCATTATATAATGTTTTCAAACGAAAATTTATCCCACGCTTTGAAAGTGCAGATCAAAATTTAGTAAAGATATAGTAATGACCTTATGTAAGATTTAATATTCTTTAGAAATATGTCTAAATTTTTTTAAAAAATCGTACATGAAATGTGTTTTAATATATAAGATTATATCAAAAGCAGCATAGAAATGGGTAACGGATTCATCAAAATCTACATTTGGATATACTAAGATAACATAATCAGATGAAATAACTTATTTTATCTATACTATTAAAGTAGAATTTCTTTTGGGGTTCTATCCCTGATTTTTTAAGAAAATTACAAAACATCTCTCTTTCTTTTACTTTTAAAGAAAATTGTCCATTAAAAGTCCAACTAAAAATTGTCCAATAATTTTAACATTTATTTACAACCAAATGGGTTTCAAATCTGTACAAAAAAAATTATATATTTGTAATTTTACAAATTGGTCAACAGAATCAGGCCTGACCATTTTATCCAGACCAGAAGATCTGAACAAGAACTGACCCGAAAAATAGGTTCAGCTCCGGGTCTATGCTAAAGTATCTGTTGGGTATTTTTTGTTTAGATCTGCGGGTCTCGGTTCGGATCCGGATCCTACTCGAAACCCGATCGGATACCCAAAGTACCCACAAATTATTGTATCTATTAGGTATATTTTTGATAATTTGCGTATTTTTCAAAGTTTCAGATTTAGATTTTTGGGTATAATATTAGGTTTTAGGTAAAAATTTTAGATCTTCAAAAAAATATAATTCGGGTATCAGGATAAAATTTCGGATATTTTTGAACTTTTGGGCCCAAATTTGGATAGACTTTCAGATATTTTTGCGGTTATTCGGGCATTTTTAGAGTTTTCGGGTATTTTTTGATTTTTTGGATCTAGTTTGGGTCCTTCGAATTCTTTTCGGGTCCTAAATACCTGAATCGACCTGACAATATACCGAACTAACGGGCCCAACAAGACCTGATCCGAAATCGACCCCAAAATTTATAGATACCTATATGGATACAAATTTCTACGGCCCAAAAAAATGGACCCGAGATCTAAATCCGACTCGAGGATTCAAATACTCAAGATTAAATAATATATTATCCATGCTTTGAAAGCGCGGATCAAAATCTAGTAGAGATTAAAAGAAATCATATTGAATAAAAGAGATAACATCAGCCCAAAAGTAGGGCCCATTTCAAAATAAATGATGTAGATTCAAATTTCAGCTCAGACTTAGAAAAGTTAGGGTCTTACTGGTTTTCCCGCCATCACCCGTAAACGCAGCTTTTGCGGTTGATAGTGGTTGATGGCGTTTTGAAACAATCACAGAAAACGTTATAAACCGTTTTAAATCGCTTTGAATCTTTAAAATACTAAAACTGATTCAAGCTAACGTTTGCGGTTGCAGGCGATTGCGGGAAGATAGAAAATATTTTTTTTCCAGAAAACACATATAAATATAAAAAGAAAATTTTTAAATTAAAATAAATTGAAATACTGAAATATTTATATTATAAAATTTCCAAAAAATATTTTATTTAATTTTTAAAAAATTTAATAGTGTATATTTCAATAAAAATTTATATTTATCATGAAAATATTATTTTAATATTTTGATAATTATATAAATATAAATATTGTTAATTTATTACTTAAACCGGTGTTGTATTTGATGATAAATCAATCATATGTATCTCGCAAACGTAATAATTTTTAACCATTGAATCAGTCGTATAAATCTTTTATTAATGCTTAAAACCGCAATATCCTGCATCCACAAACATTCGCAACCGTAATCGTTACGTTGTAACCAAGTGAGGCCCTTAACCGGTTGAGAAAATGTAGACCCGTCTAGAAAAAAAATACTCCAAATTAATTTTGTTTTCTATTTTCTTTTTCTTCCTTAAGACTCATCGCCGAGAACAAAATTCAATCTTCGTTGAAAAGCTGCCTTAATCTTCGTTGCGTTAAAGGTGGAGGGGGGGGGGGTTACAAGATGACTCCGATTCAGGAAGAAATGAGGATGCTACTTGAAATTGAAGAATCTCTTTCACTGGTTTTCTTTTACTTTCTTCTTTCCAATAATTTTTAATCTGACCTAAATTATCAATTTTCATTTCCAAATTCTGATGTTTTTCTCACAAAATTTATGTCTGAATATCTCAGGAGGAAGTGAACCAGTTGTCTCTTTCAGCTGAAGATGGTTCAGTGGACAATCATGGGAACCCACCACTGAAACACAAAACAGGAAACTGGAAAGCTTGTCCTTTCATTCTTGGTAACTTAAAAAAGATTTTGACTTTTTTTTTTTAAACTATTTTTCAAAAATTAATAATCTTGTTTAACGCAGGCAACGAGTGCTGCGAGCGATTAGCTTACTATGGAATCGCTAAGAATCTAATCACTTATTACACTAGTGAACTGCACGAGTCCAATGTCTCTGCAGCTAGACAAGTCATGATCTGGCAAGGCACTTGCTTTATCACACCTCTCCTTGGTGCTGTTATTGCTGATTCTTACTGGGGAAGATACTGGACCATTGCTTCTTTCTCTGCTATTTATTTCACTGTAAGAAAGATTTAAAAAAAAAAAACTGAAAATGGTCATTTTCTATTCCTGAAATTACATAACTAGTCTAGCTTTTGTTGTTAGGGGATGGCTTTGTTGACGCTCTCTGCTTCAGTTCCGGGTTTAAAGCCAGCTGAATGTATTGGCCCTTCTCTATGTTCACCAGCAACAATGGTTCAGTATGTTGTTTTCTTCTCAGGGCTTTACCTTATAGCACTTGGCACAGGAGGAATCAAACCGTGCGTCTCATCTTTTGGTGCTGATCAGTTTGATGATACTGACCCTAGTGAAAGAGTCAGTAAAGCTTCCTTCTTTAACTGGTTTTACTTCTCCATCAACATTGGTTCTTTCGTCTCCTCGACTTTGCTTGTGTGGCTTCAAGAGAATTCAGGGTGGGGGCTTGGTTTCTTGATTCCTACTGTCTTCATGGGACTCTCTATCGCTAGTTTCTTCTTTGGAACTCCGCTTTATAGGTTTCAGAGACCTGGAGGCAGCCCTATTACAAGAGTTTGCCAAGTTCTTGTAGCTGCATACCGTAACATGAATCTCAATGTCCCTGAAGATAACGCATTACTGTTTGAAACAGAAGATAAAAACTCTGTAATCGCTGGAAGTAGGAAGATTGAGCACACACACGGTTACAAGAAAATATTTTTCACCTTTTTTCAATGTCTCATTATGAATTAAGCTTTTGAAAACATAACTTTTTTCCTCATATCTATGCAGGTGTCTTGACAAAGCGGCTGTTAGCTCAGGAGATGGATGTTTGAACCCATGGAAGCTATGTACTGTGACTCAAGTGGAAGAAGTTAAGATTCTGATCCGTATGTTCCCTATCTGGGCCTCAGGGATCGTCTTCTCGGTCCTATATGCGCAGAATTCAACTCTGTTTGTGCAACAAGGACGGTCCATGAAACGGGTCATCCGCACTTTTGAGATACCTCCTGCTACACTTGGGGTTTTCGACACTCTTATTGTACTCATATCCGTCCCAATCTATGACCGTTTCATTGTACCCTTTGTAAGACGGTTCACGGGGACACCGAAAGGATTCACTGATCTGCAGAGAATGGGAATTGGTCTTTTTCTATCTGTCCTGAGCATTGCAGCTGCAGCTATAGTTGAGACAGTGCGGTTGCAGCTAGCTCGAGATGCAGTGTCAATGAGCATATTCTGGCAGATCCCTCAGTACATGCTGATGGGAATAGCAGAGGTTTTCTTCTTCATTGGTCGGCTTGAGTTTTTCTATGAGCAATCTCCAGATGCAATGAGAAGCTTGTGCAGCGCTTTAGCGCTTCTCAATACAGCTATCGGAAGCTACCTGAGCTCGTTGATCCTCACTCTTGTGGCGTATTTCACTACAGTTGATGGTGAAGAAGGTTGGATTCCAGACAACCTTGATAAAGGACATCTTGATTACTTCTTCTGGCTTTTGGTCGTTCTTGGGCTTGTCAACATTCCTGTGCATGTTTTCTTCTCTGTTAACCACACGCAGAAAAAGGCATTGTAATCTTATATTTCTTCTGTATCATATGAAGACACACAGTATTATGTATATACATTATAGTAACAAATTGTATGTTATTGCAATGTGTGAACAAGTATTGTACATTTGTACACCATATGATATAAACATATCTACATATGTACCTTTAAGTTTCTATCTAGTGTTAAATTAGGGTTTTTAGTGATTAAAACCTGCAACTATTTTTATATCGGATGAAAAACCTCCAACTAAAATTTTATGTTTTTAAACCTCCAAATACTAAACCGTTAATGCCGTTAACCTTCCGTTATCGTTTTTTCTTAACGCAGACCCGTTAAATCGAAACACCGCGTTTCATGTAATTTCAAAACTACATAAGGTTCTTACTATCAATATATATTTTAGTGATTTAAACCTCCAACTATATTTTTAAATCGGATAGAAAATCCCCAATATAAAATTTTGTATTTTTAAACACTCAACTATTAAATCTTTATTGCTTTTAACCATCTGTAAACAAAATCATATTTTCTGAATGAGAAACCGTTAAATTGAAACACAGAGTTTCATGTAATTATATAAACGATATGAAATGTTTAAACCCCTATATCAATGGGCAATGACAATCACAATTCATCATTAAATAAAAAATTAAAGTTCTTTCTCCTCTTCATCTAAGGTGAGGTAAGTCAAAAAATTCTATTGTTTCTAAATTTTAGGCTATGATTGTATGGCACTTCTGACGATATATTTAAAGTGTAAAACATATTTACTTTGACTCCTGCTAATATTTAGCCAATCAGAAGACACAAGTTCAACTTGCCTTTTCGCTAGTTAATATTGAAACATAGTAAAATTGTTTCTTTTTTCTCTCTTGGTTTATGCAGAGAAATATGTGTTGCGCTGGCTTTTGTATTGTTTTCCACTTTTTATTATTCTTCCTTTCACCTATTTATTTTACGCTATTTTATCTTAATGACCCATCGATCATTGCCCAAACATTCCGAGATTAACGTTCAAAGAGCCATCATCTCGAGGGGCGTACTAGGGACAAATGTCCCACATCGGTTGTTGGAAGGGATTATAAGCAATATATAAGATAGATGGACCACTCCACTTATTACCAATCGGTTTTAGATTGGAAGCCCATCTACTTTAACATGGTATCAGAGCCCATGCTCCACAAAGTCTAACCCGATCCTTATCGATCCAGCCCAAATTCGGCCCATCGATCTTTGCCTGAACATTCCGAGATTGACGCCAAAGAGCCATCATCTCGAGGGGTGTATTAGGGACAAAGGTCCCACATCGAAAGTTGCAAGGGATTCTATCTAGTATATAAGATAGATGCGTCACTCCACTTATCACCAACTGGTTTTAGGTTGGAAGTCCATCTACCTTAACAGTACGCAATCAACCCTAATTCTTTCTCTCCTATTCATTTTTTTGAGGATGAATTGTGATTATCATTGCTCATTGATATCGGGGGTTTAAACATTTCATGTCGTTTATATGATTACATGAAATTCTGTGTTTCAATTTAACGGTTTCCCGTTCAGAAAATATGACTTTGTTTACAGAGGGTTAAAAACATTAAAGGTTTAATAGTTAAGGATTTAAAAATATATAAAAAATTTGTTAGGGTTTTCTATCCGATTTAAAAATAGTTGGAGGTTTAAATCACTAAAATATATATTGATGATAAGAATCTCTTGCCGTATTTGAAATTACATGAAACGCGGTGTTTCGATTTAACGGATTTTCGTTAAGAAAATACGAATTTGATAACGGAAGGTTAACGGCATTAACGGTTTAATAGTTGGAGGTTTTAAAACATAAAATTTTAGTTGGAGGTTTTTTATCCGATTTAAAAATAGTTGAAAGTTTAAATCACTAAAAACCCGTTGAATTATTAGATAAAATGTGTGCATTAGTTAAATAATGTCTTAGTTTACAATTTATGACTATGGACTCAGAATAGAAGTTAGAGTTGATTTTGATATGAACTGGAACAGAACATTTTAACCGCTGGACCAGGTGATGAATCGGTGTTAATGTAGCTGTCTTTCAAGGTAAAACTTTCAGAAGGCTAGAAGAGCAGTGCTTAAATATATGTGAATATTATTTGAGGTATGCTATTTGACATCTTTTTCTGTTTATGTCGAAAACTGAAAATTACTTTTCCGAACTTTGTAACAGAAAAGTGTTTTAAGATAGTGTACGGATCCTTGTGTTTACATGGCTCAGTTTCAGAGGTACAGAAACCCAATATTTTATGTAACTATGCTCCATTAAATATCTCCCTGTTCAAATGGTAAGATTTTTCAATGTAGGTTCACATAAACCACTCACTGTAGGCTGATATGTGGAGTGTAGTCTACTTACTGTCTACATTGTGTAGAAACAATCATTTTTTTGAAATTTATGTGGGAGCAATACATTTCGAACATTTTCACGGTTATTCACATTTTCACGGTATGAACGATGTTCAGGTTAGATCTTCAATATTACATGTACTCTTTGGTTCAAAAACATTGTTTCAAAATATATTTTTGCTAACACTAAAAATAAATTGGTTTGAAGTATTGACAACTGTTTTTACCAAATTAAATCGTTTCAATTGTTAGAATGTAAAGAAAATTTGATTTATTCAAAATAAATGGGATCACATGTTTAAGAAATGACTCCAATAATAAAAATGAACATAAGTAGGACTAGGGCTGGGCATATCTGTAAATTTTGATTCGAATCGTTATCCGTTTCGATTCAAACCGAAAAATCCGGATATCCGTAATTCTACGAAGCAAAGCAAATACTAAAATGTGATATCCGCTCTGTTCTAAAACGCGGGCGCCCAACCGCCTAGACAACCGATTATTCGCTGCTCGGCCCATCTCCGCCACGATTTTGTCATATAATCGGACAGCAAAATCTGATACACACTAATCGGCCCAACAGACCAATTAATCGGCCCATTAACCGATTAATCGGCCGAATTACCAATTAATTGGGCCATTATAAGAAACCCAAATTTTAACTAGATAGACAAGTTGAGGCCTTTTCGTGAAAGCCCAAACATCCGGGATGACGAATATCCGAAAGGGGATTGAATCAAATTGAATAATTTATTATTCGAACGAAACAGATCGGATAACGAATATCTCCGAATACTAGGATATTTGCTTCGTGTCCACCCCTAAATAGGATAGATAGATATATATATGGTACACTGATGACTACATACTTCTTTTCTTTTTTGTTAATACATACTTTACCTTAGACCAACTGACATTCTCAAAAGCATTTCCTAAAATCCATTACGCGGTTGATATAAGAGAAAATTGAAATCGACCATACCCATTGTTATGGAATTTGAGTTTCAGCTTTTCTAAATGAATTTTTGACTTTTCCGTAAATGTGATATTATATGATTTAAGGATTAAATTTGTAAACATTCATGTTCAATAAGTGTAGTACTCTTATATCCTTATCAAGTTGTTGGTAAACAAAATTTTAAAACTCATGAACAAAATATCTTGTCTCAGTGGTAATATTTATGTCTGCTATCAAAATGATGTGATGTTTTTAAGTTGCGCCCTTGATGAGAATATGCTTTTCTTATTACTAGAATTCAGCTTAACCATAGACACATATTCTCTTTTTTTTTTTGAACATTAAAAGACACATATTCTCTTACCCTTTATTTTGTTGATAAACAGTATGCGGTCCTAACATTTTATCTCAACATTTAAGAGGAAAGTAAAGTAATAAAATAACTGATATATACACTTATCCCCTATATATTATTGAGAATAATTTAAAAATTGTAATCTTCAGTTTGTATTAATTAAAAATAACCCCTATCTTATGTGATATTTTTTTTCCTTCTAAATTCTATTTAACACAATTCTAAAGCACCATACATATACCATAGTTTAAACATATATTTAATAGAAAGATGTTGGTCACATATCTTATTAATATTAAAAATTTATCATTCATTATTTCCTTAAATTAAAGCTACGGAATTAACTAATATGATTAACAGATTTATAATAATTAATAATTTCAGTAATAAAGATTTGCTAACTTTTTTATAACATTATTTCTATAATAAAAATTATATTTTTTCGTAGATACTGTATTTTGAATTTTTAAAAACGGGTATAAATACTAAATTGTTAAATATCTCAAATAATTTTTTGTGATAAATAGTTTAAATTTTATTGTAATAAGATAGAAATAATTATAAAATATATGAGTAAGACGTCTTATTTAATATTTTTATATTAATACATATATATAATTTAAATTAAGTTACATACCATATAAAGTACCTACTTCTATTTTGATATTTTCATTGAAAAATATTGAGAATTTAATATTTTAATTTTAAAATTTGCATTCAATTTTTAATAGTTCAAAATTTTGTTATAAAAAATATATTGATAAATTATAAAACCTTATAATGAAAAAATCATTTACTAAACATTCATATTTAAAATATATTATAGGTATTGTTAATGTCATTTAAATTTAATTGTATATAATATATGATGGTAAAATTGATTGCGTTGGTTTATTTACCATAAAATGATTGTTAATAAATAAGAATAATCGTTTGATTTAAGTGCACATAAATCCCCTATATATTAATTGATGATCATTTTAAATGTTATAAACTTTGTATTAATTAAAATAATCATATCCTACGTGGCAGTTTTCTATGAAAATTTACTTAGAGAAATTATAGAGCATCTCATATAAAACATAATTTTAAAACAAAATCTGTCGGTCTCATATAAGACATATTAAAACTAAATATCATATATATTATTTACTTGAAAAAAGCTACGGAATCAACTAATGTGATTAAGATATATATATATATATATATATACATATGACTATTAATGATTTTAAATAATAAAGATTGGTTAACAATCTGTATACTTTACATCATTTTTGTTTAATTTTTGTTATTAAAATAAGTTACACAATTACACTAATAATATAATAAAAATTTAGATTTTTTTATATACGTTGTATTTTGAATTTTTTAAAACGAGTATAAATTACTAAAATTGTTAAAAATCTCACATAAACTTTTGTGATCAAGGTCTAATTTTTTTTCTAAAATAAGTTACAATGATTATAAAATCATACAAATAAATAATTTTATTTTAATAGGTGTTATGTTTTAATATATATATATATATATATATATATATATATCTCATATCCTAAAAATAATTTTATTTTAAACATAATTATAATTTATAATTTAACTTAATTTTTTCTAGAAATTATTTTTAATTTAAAAAATAAATTGAAAAAATATTATTAGACAAATAAATAATTATATTAAATTAGTTTTGGAATATTTTTAATGTGAATATTCCACCAGTTGCTTTTTAAGAAAGCATTAGAGAACTTGATAATGTTCTACCAATTAATCCATGTGACACTCTATTATTTTTCATCTATCGAACACTGACAAGTGAAAAGATATATAAACCGGACCCATTAAATTATAACTTTTAATCTACAATTCTAATTACAATTGTTTATGATCCGACGTATAAATAGTTATATACAAATTCCAAAATTTGAAATACATATAAAGATAATCATATGTAAATTTTAAATATGCGAATACTAAAATCTTTATTTTAGTTACATACATTCATCATGCACAGGACGCGGGTTTTATCCTAGTGTATACGTATTCCATAAATAAGTTCGATAAACAAGAATTTCGATTCGTGATGAGATACCAGAACAAGATCATTAAATCAGTAAACGTCAGGTGTCAAAATGTTATCTGAATTGCAAATGATAAATCTTTCTTCAAGCCTTCAAATAGTTCAACTAGAATACATTCACATATGATAAAAGGAGTTAGATAAAGTGTTTTTAATAGGAAAATTAAATATATTGATAGAATGACGCTTTGATTTTTTTTTTGGTTGCTGCGTATCCTTTGCTCAACCCCAAAGGTCAACAGGTTTCTACTATATGCCTCACCACAATTATTCTATTCGAGAGAAAAGGCATTCCCCACACGAATCTTTATATAATCAGACACCGGATATCATAATCGACCTTTTGGAAATTTAAAATTAATAATTTCTTTTAATAAATGAATAATTGTGTCATGGAAAACATAGAGCATGCTTACATGGACCACATTTTAAATTGAAAAGCAGTTCCACCATTAGTTTCGCTTGTACGAAGAGTTGAAGTAGTTTTACATTTAAGGGTCGTAAGAGAAATTAAAAACCAGCTACGTACTTTTTACATTTCGGATATAAATATTTATCTCTTTTTTTTTTGTAAATACCAAATATTATGCAGATTTAAACTGAGTTATGCTACATAACAACGACACGAGTATGAATACTGGTTTAATATATGTGTTCATTTAATTGGTAAAATATGGTGATGTAAAAATGTTAGCTGGTAACGATTACAAACGTATATATTTGTTTTACATATAGTTCCCACTTCATAAAGAGTATGATTAATGAAGAATTTTTAAAGATGAGATTCTTAGCGGAATTAAAAAAATTTCTTAATTTTTTTTTGAAAAAAACTTAAGAATAATTTTTAAATATTTTATTTAAAAAGCAATTCTTAAATATTTAGTTAAAAATTAAGAGACATTTTTTAATTCTGTTAAAAATTCCATCGGTAAGAACTCCTAATTAGATTTTGACGCGCACGCCGGTGCAACTGTTTAAAAAAATTACATTGTTAAGAAAATTTCATACATGATTAATTGTATATATTTCAATGCTTACAATTTTTAATATATAATTAATATGATTTTATAGTCTATATGCATCAATTTTATTAATTATTTTAAATTATCATTTTTTTGGTTGTATATATATATATATATATATCATGGGTTAAAATTTAAATATATATATATATATATATATATATATATATAAATGAATGTGAATTATCAGTTATTTTTTGTTTATATATTATTATTTTATTATAATAATCTGTTATTTATGTTGAATATATTTTTTAGTTCTTCATAATAAATAGATAGGTGGATATTTTTACTATAAATTTATACACATTTATTATACATATTTTTAAATTTAAAATATATATTTGTATTGAAGTTATTAATAAACATTAATTTTAGTTTTAATAGCTTAACTTATTTGATTAGTTACAATTAACTTTTCAGATATGTATTTATAAGAAGGTTGACAATTTGCGCTTTAAAAAAGAAAAATTCTCATAATCAGAATTTCAATTCAATTTAGTTCCTTATAAATAGGTAGGTGAAATATTGATTTTATTAAGACATTTTAATTTTAATAAATAACAAATAAATCCAATAGCATAAAAATGTAATTATTGAAAAAACTAAGAGATATTTTAAATTTGTAATTCCGTTTTAATATTTTAGATTAATCATGTTTTAACGTATTGAGACTTCAAAAGAAAATGTTATTTCTCGCAAAAAATGAAAACATCAAATCAGCAATTACTTGTAGGACCATTGCTGCAACTTGTTTCCGAACTAATATCAATTCTAAACAATTTATAACATATATTCAAACAATAAAAATACTTCACTCCTAAAAGTGCAAATGAAATCATAATGTATTTTTTTTTTGAGCAAAAAATTATAATGTATAAATTCATTTAATTTAGTATAATTTTATTTAGATATATGCTCACCCAACCTATGTAAATATATATAGTTAAATCAATAACTTGAAATTACTGGAAGCTTTTTTTCTTAGAAATAATAATTTGAAACTGAAAGTAGAAAATTCAAAATTTGCTATAAAGAATTTCCAGCCGTGTGTCACTTCCAAATTCAAAGCAGCCACATATCACACACCAGTGCTCACCACGAGATCCAACCGGGTAACGCTGAGTTATAATTTCCAAGATTTATCTTCCACCAATCATTACATAACACGTCATCAAAACGAATCAAACCGTAAGAACGTCCAGATTCTTAAAGCGTAGAGGTAGGCATATTCGGTCCGCCATTATTTAACGCTTATACCCCAATCTACTCATCTCCCTGAACACAAACCAAAGAGATTTTTATATCCTTCATTCTCTTCCAACATTTTCGAATCTGAGCGTGGTTATGGCTTTAGCTGTCACTTCTTCTTCAACTGCCATCTCTGGATCCAGTTTCTCGCGCTCTGGAGCTTCTTCTGATCCTAAAGGTACTGCTAATCTCATTCCCTTTCATTTTCTCTGATAAATTCTCCGATTTTAATCTCTTATGTTTGGTTCTCTTTTGCAGCACTCCAAATCTGTTCGCTTAGGTTATCTGATAGAATCCATGTCTCTACTCTCTCCCAGACACGTTACTCTATCAAATCACATTCACGCAACAACGAATCTTTCCTTCCTCGTGCTTCAACCCTAGTCACTCCTGGTTAGTTACTGAAACGATGGCTTTAATTTTCATATCCCGGTTTGGTTTATTTCTTTTTTTTTGCTTAACCGGTTTGGTTTAGTTTAATTGCTTATTTTTGAGTTTTATTGAATGAATAATGACAGAAGTGGAAGAGAAAGAAGAAGAGGTTGAGGATTTCGAGCAACTCGCGAAAAAATTGGAAGATGCATCTCCACTTGAAGTCATGGACAAAGCTCTCCAGAAATTCGGAAGCAACATCGCTATTGCTTTCAGGTAAACAATAGATTCAATTAGAGACCCAAAACGAAATATAACTTTTTTAATTGACATATTAAAAAAATCTTGTTTTGTTTTTCCACAGTGGCGCTGAAGATGTTGCATTGATCGAATACGCTCGTTTAACCGGAAGGCCCTTCAGGGTATTCAGCTTAGACACGGGAAGATTAAACCCTGAGACCTACCGCCTCTTCGACGCAGTGGAGAAGCAGTACGGGATTCGAATCGAGTACATGTTCCCTGACGCGGTCGAAGTTCAAGCACTAGTGAGGAACAAAGGTTTGTTCTCTTTCTACGAAGATGGTCACCAGGAGTGTTGCCGTGTGAGGAAAGTAAGACCTCTGCGCCGCGCTCTCAAGGGTCTCAAAGCCTGGATCACAGGACAGAGGAAAGACCAGTCTCCAGGGACGAGATCCGAGATTCCGATTGTTCAGGTTGATCCCGTGTTTGAAGGGTTAGATGGGGGTGTTGGGAGTCTTGTGAAGTGGAACCCTTTGGCTAATGTTGAAGGTGTTGATGTGTGGAACTTTTTGAGGACGATGGATGTTCCTGTGAATGCATTGCACGCGCAAGGGTATGTTTCTATTGGGTGTGAGCCGTGTACCAGGCCGGTGCTTCCTGGTCAGCACGAGAGGGAAGGAAGGTGGTGGTGGGAAGATGCTAAAGCTAAAGAATGTGGTTTGCATAAAGGGAACATCAAGGAGAAAGATGGCGATGCCACCGCGGATTTGGCTCCTGTTATTGTGAAGGATATATTTGAAAGCGAGAATGTGGTTGCGTTGAGCAGAGGAGGGATTGAGAATCTGGTTAAGCTAGGTAGCCGCAAAGAGCCGTGGCTGGTTGTGCTTTACGCTCCTTGGTGCCCGTTTTGCCAGGCGATGGAAGCGTCTTATGTGGAGTTGGCTGAGAAACTGGCGGTGAAAGGGGTTAAGGTGGCGAAGTTCCGTGCGGATGGTGACCAGAAGGAGTTTGCTAAGCAAGAGCTTCAGTTAGGAAGCTTCCCGACAATACTGCTGTTTCCGAAAAGCGCTCCACGGGCGATTAAGTACCCGTCGGAGCATAGGGATGTTGATTCTCTTATGTCCTTTGTGAATCTACTCCGATGAGTTATGAGATTGGGATCTAAACAGTGATGAAGATTCAAGATAATTGAGATGAAGGAATGATTTCATCTTCAGATTGTGGATCTAAAAGAATAAACAAAAGCTTTTATGTTCTATATGACTTTGTATATGGTATTGTAGGGAGTTTATAGACTCTTTTTGCTTTCTTGTCGTTAAATGTGGTTTGTTCTTTTTGAGTTTTACTTGGGAAGGAAAGTGTTCGTGTAGTGGGATGTTTTTGGTTATGTTTTTCTAGATATGTGAATCTACTACAGTTACAAACGTCTTCGATTTAAATCTCAGCAAAGACCATTAGCTAAATGGGCCAAAACCCATCAGCCCATATGTTAGGACATGGAAGTGGTATAGGATGTGAACTAGGGGTGGGCATTCGGCACCCATTTGGGTTCGGTACGGATCTATTCAGGTTTCGGATTTTCGCTTTCACAAAATCTTAGTCCCATTAGAATATTTCTAAACTTGGGTTCGGATTCGGTTCGGTTCGAGTTCGGATAACACATTTAAATTATTTTTAAAATTACAATTGATTATATACTTTAAATTTCTAAAAATCTATAAACAAAATAATATATTACAAATAATTGAATAACATAAGTCAAAATACCTAAAATTAACATATAAAATTAGTTTGATTTGAATATTTGAATTGTGAATCAATAATTTTAAGTATTTTGGATATTTTGAGTGTACTTAGCAATTTTAAACATGTATGTTTGACTATTTACATATATTTACAAGTACTTTGAATAAATGCAAAGTATTTTATATAAATTGAATGTTTTTTATATACATTAAATTTAAAAATAATTAATATATAGGTATATAAATCTCTTTCGGATATATTCGGGTACCCAAAATATTTCGGTTCGGATCGAGTTTGGTTTCGGTTCTTTAAATACCAAAATTTTGTATCCATTCGAATATTGAATCAGTTTCGGTTCGGATTCGATATTACTTTTTCGGATCGGATTCGGTTTGGTTCTTCGGATCCGGGTTTTTTGCCAGACCTAATGTGAACAAAGCAAATGCATTGATATCATAAAGTTTTATAAGATTTAATATCCTACGGTCTTTATACCAACTAGCAAGCAAAGAATGTTACCAAAATCGAACATCTCCCAAGGTCAAATACGTGGAGAAGAGGTAATACCGTAATAGATATTTTATTACAAATAATAATGCATATAGGAAGTACAGTTAGTTTACTTACAATCATATTTTTGGCTTTTGTTTGTTTACAAAATAAACTATTACAATTTTTTTTAAAAAAAATATTTGTCATTTTTTCAGTTTTAAATTAGACGTTCGATTATTTGGGATTTGTTTGTTAGTAATATCAGTTCAAACTAACTCAGCGCGTCTAAAAATTAAAAACTCAAACCAAAAGCTGAAAATCAAAAATAAAAACTTAAAAACTAAAAACCAAAATCTAAAAATAAAAACTGAAATTAAAACTAATGAAAAAAAATCATCACCACATATTTTGATGAACTGATTTTATACAAGAACATTCTTTAAATTAAGATAAAACTCAATTATATAAATTTTTAATCATAAAAAATTTCCGCGCATAAAAAGCGCGGGCCAAAATCTAATTGTCATTTAAAAAAAAAGTGTTACAAAAAAAAGAAAATGAAGAAAAGAAAGCAAAGGAAATAAGGGTTTTTTGCACATAAACCTAAAATGGTTTCTTGAAAAGTCGACCACGGCTTCAATCTTTTTGCTTTCACTAGTAAGTTTGAGATTATATCATTCCATATCTTGAACTGTGGTTGTCGCATTTCCTTCTGACATGTATTCTATGATACTCCATGGAAGAAGGTCGCTAGAGCTACACAAATGGCTTAACTTGAGAGTTTCAGTGCAAAATGTATTTTCCTTTTCTTCTACTGCTAGTGCTAGAGATGGTAAAAAAGAGCAGGTTTTTACTTTCAGTTACCTCGTTGATTCCTTGGGTTTAACTGCAACACAAGCAGAATCAATCTCAAAGAAAGTCGGCTTCAAAGACAAGGGAAATCCTGATTCAGTCCTGAGTCTATTTAGAAAGTATGGTTTCACAGATTATCAGATCTCCAGCATCATTAAAAACTATCCACGGTTGCTTCTATTAGATGCTGAGAAACGTCTTGGTCCCAAGCTTCAGTTGCTGAAGTCAATGAAAGGATCTTCAAGCTCTCACCAGCTCATCGACACTGTCACAAAAGTTCCTAAACTGTTGGGAATGAAAGGAGACAAAACCATAAGCAGATACTATGATGTTGTCAAAGAGACTATCAAATCTGATAAGAGTTCCAAGTTCGAAAAGTGATCTCATTCACTTCCTCAAGGTTTGCAGCAGAAAAAAATCAGGAACGTATCTGTTTTGAGAGAACTTGGAGTTCCTCAGAGGCTGTTACACCCTTTGCTCGTCTCGGACCGCAAACTTGCCTGTGGAGATGAAAAATTTAAAGAATCTCTCAAAAAGGTTGTTGAGATGGGTTTTGATCCGACAAGCTCACAGTTTGTTCAAGCTCTAGGAGCTGTTCATTTGTTGAGTGACAAAGCTATAGAAGAGAAAGTCAATGTCTACAAGAAGTTAGGCTTGTCTGAAAGAGATGTATGGGAGATGTTCAGGAAGTATCCCATCTCTATTAGATTCTTGGAGGAGAATATAACTCAGACGTTTGAAGTCCTGAAGAAATGTGGACTAACAGAAGAAGAGATCCTCTCAGTGTTCAAGAAGTATCCCCAATGCATTGGTTATTCAAGGCAGAAGATATTCAACTCCCTTAAAACATTTTTTGGGCTTGGATTTAACATTAATGAGTTTGTGATGATGGTCAAGCGTTTCCCAGAGGTACTTAACATATCTCCAGAGAAGGTGAAGAAAAGAACAAGGTTTCTTGTGAAGAAGAAGAATAAGTTTATGGTGAGGAAGATGAAATGGTCCATAAAGGCCTTGGTTTCATACCCTGAGGTGCTTGGAATTAGCATGAAGAAGAGGATTGTACCAAGGTGTAACGTTATGAAAGCACTCATGTCCGAAGGGTTGCTTGGAGACAGAGAAAATAAACTAGATGAAAAGGAATCTGTCTTGTTGTGTACTGATCAAGAATTTTTAGACAGGTTTGTGAGGAATCATGATGACAAGGAGCTTGAGGCTGAGTTAATGGCTATCTTCACCGGAGATTGTGCTTCATAGATCTTAAGACTTTTGTGTCAAGGATTTTCACTTAATAAGTTGAAGGATATGATCCTAGAAACTGTTTAAGCTATCAATATTTATTGAAGTAGAACAATGTAATGCTTTTGTTTGTTGATTCATTCCCATCTACGAAGCACGTCTGCTTTTGTCTGTTTTACTTTTTCTTTGTTTGATTGTGTTGTTGGACATGAGATCCTAAGTTACATGGAAACTTCGTCCAAACACGTCTCACGTTTCAGAATTATTCTTCGTCCGTAACATCCTCCTGAACCTGTATTGGGTCATAAATTGGACTTGGAATCTCACTTGAGTGAAGTGTATTTCGCTGTCAGTTTAACTAACAGCAGATTAGGATGTACACATTCGTGCAAACTTATGATTTTACAAACAAAAAAAACGACAAAAATAACCCAAAACCGAATTAAAATCTGACTAAGATTTGCTTCTACTAGATGCTGAGAAATCTCTTGTCCCCAAGTTTAATTCTCTGCAGTCTAAAGGATCTTCAGCCCCAAAGCTCAGTGTAGTTGTTTTGAAAGTTCCTAGAGGAGCTTCAGCCCCAAAGCTCAGTGAATTGTTTTGATAAAACCTGGAATGAAGAAGCTAAAAGAGTTGAAACAGATGAATGAAGAGAAGGGTGTTTCTCTGTTCGAACTACTGACGCAGTTATATGTTTCCCTGTTCGAGTGAACCCCAATCCTAAAATCTTATCAATAGAGAGTGATCCCGTCAATAAGTTTTCTGACAGCCAAAGTGTTTATGAGATTCCCAATATCATGAGAGCTTCCTACAATGAGATTGTCTCATGAAGGCTTAAATAGTTGAGGTTAACTGGCAGATTGACAACGGAATTAGACAAATCGCCCCCAAGAAATTTAATTTGTACCTAAATATATCAGTTGTACCTGGGTGCAGTTAGTCAAAGCATCAAGAAAGACAAGATCTCTTTTGTGTTAAGAAAAAAAAAAGTCAAGATCTCCAAACGAACCACTTCCCACATATATAGTACAAGAGAAAGGACTCCTTTCAAAGGAGACACATTAGTAGAAGATGAAGCAATAGAGAACAGCCTTGAACTCGTTCTTGTTTTACTATCTTTGTAAACTCTTTTGATCTTATGTGGTTTGGCAGTAAGAGTTCTAATACGAAACCTAACCAAATAGAGGTGGGAAACTTGTTATAGTTTTGCTTAGGTTCTAATACGAAACCTAACCTAATACTTTTCATTGTACTTTACTACTTTTCATTGTTCTAAAGATACAATTTTTCGGAAACGGCGGCGTTTGATGGTTTCTGTTTACAGTTTGAAAACTCTTTTTGCATTATCTACTTCTACCACAGTAGATATATATTGTTTTTGACGAGGAAACTCCGAAGGGATTTTATGGTTTAACTCATAAACCCTAGTTTTGTTTGTTTCTCGGAATCCTTTCGATTGGTCTTCTAAATGTATTCATTGATACTCCATAGAAGAAGGTCTTTGGAGTTGCAGAAATGTATTCCTCATCTGAGAGTTGCAGCAAAGCAAATCTTGTTCTCTGCTTTCTCCAATAATCCCTTCTCCTCCTCCGCTACTTCTGCTCCTGAAGATGGTCCGCGAAAAGATCAGAACTTTACAGTCTCTTACCTCGTTGACTCATTGGGTTTCACTACCAAACTCGCCGAATCCATCTCCAGGAAAGTCAGCTCCGAGAGAAAGGCCAATCCTGATTCTGTTCTGAGTCTTCTTAAAAGCCACGGTTTCACAGATTCTCAGCTCTCAAGCATCGTTACGAGCTACCCACAAGTGCTTATAGCAGATGCTGAGAGTTGTCTGGCTCCAAAGCTTCAGTTTTTAAAGTCAAGAGGAGCTTCAACCTCTGAGCTTACTGAGATTCTCTCAAAAGTTCCTAAAATCTTGGGATTGAAAAAGGTTAAAGCTTTCAGCTTGTACTATGATTTCATCAAAGAGGTTATAGTAGCTGATAAGAGTTCCAAGTTGGAAAAGTTATCTCAATCTTCTTTGCTAGAGAGTAGTAGGCAAGAGAACAAACTGAGAAACATATTGGTTTTGAGAGATTTGGGTGTGCCTCAGAAGCTCTTATTCTCATTGCTCATGTCTAACTTCCAGACTGTATGTGGCAAAGAAAGGTTTCAAGAAACCCTCAACAAGGTTCTTGAGATGGGTTTTGATCCCACCACCTTTAAGTTTGTCCAAGCCCTCAACGCTGTTTACCAACTTAGCGACAAAACAACTCAAGACAAAGTCAGTTTCTTGTGTACAAGGTTAGGCTTTGCTGTGGATCAAGTATGGGCAATGTTCAGGAAGAATCCAAGCCTTCTAACACTCTCGGAGAATAATATATTGAAGTCCATTGAAGCATTTCTAAGCCTAGGATTCACCAGAGATGAGTTTGCCACGCTGGCCAAGGGCCATCCTCAGTGTCTTAATTACTCCCCAGGGATGGTGAAGAAGAAGACTGAGTTTCTGGTGAAGGAGATGAGTTGGTCACTAAAGGCTTTAGTTTCGAACCCTTCAGTACTTGGATTAAGCATGGAGAAGAGGATTGTGCCAAGGTGTAAAGTAATCAAAGCTCTCATGTCCGAAGGATTGCTTGGAACTGAACTCCCTTCAATTGGGTCTGTTTTGGTGTGTACCAATGAGATGTTTTTAAACAAGTATGTGATGAAGCATGATGATGATGTTGATGATAAGAAGCTTGTGGCTAAGTTAATGGCTATCTTCACCGGAGATCTTGTTTCCTAGATCAGAAGAACTGTCAGGTTTTAAGCTTTTATTTATGAAACATTGATTTAAGACTTTTGTGAACTCAGTTTGAATTCTGACTTAGCAAAAAACAATGTAAACATAGAACGAAGTTCCTGAGTTCTTGGATTGGTCATGTAAAGCTTTTTTCGTGTCTTTTTAAGTGTTTGGCCTTTGGTTTGTTGAGAGGCTTTAATTGAACTAAACTTTTTTGACGCCTTGTGTTCTCTATTTGTTGTGACGTCTTATACAGCTTGTGAGCTTATGGTACATTTTCCTCCAATCCATGTTGTTGTTAAACCCTGGAATGAAGCTAAAAAGCCTAAAACAGATGATTGAAGAGAAAGGTGTTTCTCTGTTCTGACTTATCTAGGTTTCTTGAGGAAGTTCAAGGATATGATCCTAGTAACAGTTTCAGAGTTCAGTTGGAATTTGCCTTTACAGTCAAGAGAGAGTGACTTCTTTACATAGGGCCGACCCTGAAGCTTTCATTTTCATTTTCGCCTGTGTTGGTGGTTACTGATGAAGCTTTCTTAAATAAGTATGTGAAGAAGCATAATGACAAAGAGGTTGTAGCCGGTTTGATGGCTATCTTCACCGGGGATCGTGCCTCATAGATCTTCATAAGGCTTGTCAAATACTTTGCTTTTATTTATGACTCTGTACATCTCTTTTCCGAGATACTAGGACATCCAACAATCTCGGCAACGATAGCTGAGTATATATTTGTATAAAAACTCACTTGACTGAAGCATTAAGATTTAAGAGCTTGTTGTTTTGTTTGGAATCAGTTCTCATATGGGATTGTTTGAAATCAGTTCTCAAATGAGATTCTAAAACTACTTGTTAGTCTAACGCAACTCCCTTTTCTTTTTGTGATTGATTTGTGTGTTTTAGACATGTTGATTCCCGGATGAAAAAGGGCTATGGTAAGTTCCTTTTTTCCTTGAAGAATTCAGAATCCATTGTCGAATAGTTTACATCTATTGAGGGTGAATCTCTTGGTGCCAAAGAAAGTTTAAGAAAGCTTTGTGATATTCATTCCATCTTTTAAGAGATGAATCCAAGGAACCACTTGAGAGAGCTATATATTTATACAGAGCAGTCACCATTGCTACATATATATGGGCTGACAATTCGTTTAAAGTAACCAAATCACAGATGTATGTACACTATGGTATGTATGCGTACATTGGTTTTTGATTCAATAACAAAACTCAGCTAAATAGTAACTGACTAAACCAATATTACTAACAACATAACAAATGATGTGTACCTCAGCAGCTGTGCCATTGCCAAGGTGTAAGGTTTTGAAAAACTCGTGGACTATGTGTAGTCCTGCTTTGATATTAGCGGTTGTAATAGTGATGGTAAAAATTTTACACACAAAAAATATTAAGACACGGGTTCGGTGGGCATCAGCCACATGTTAATATTTTTTTCCTTTTTGCAATTTAGGGTTTAACCCATTTTCCTTTCTCTGCTTCTCCATTGGATCGCGTTTGTAATGTATTCGCTGATACTCCTCCATGGAAGAAAGTCTCTTGAGTTGCAGAAATGGCGTCACTTGCGATTTGCAGTGAACCTTCTTCAAAAGAAGTCTGCTTTTTCACTGAATCCTTCCCCAAATGTATTGTCTTGTCTCTCCAACTCCCTATCCTCCGCTACTGCTGTTGATGTCAGGATTCAAGATGGTCCAAAAGGTAACAACTTTACTGTCTCTTACCTTGTTGATTCGTTGGGTTTCACTACCAAACTCGCTGAATCAACCTGGAAGAAAGTCACCTCAGAGCCCAAAGGTAATCCAGACTCTGTTCTGCATCTGTTGAGATCTCATGGGTTCACAGATTCTCAGATCTCAACCATCATTACGACTTATCCAAAACTGCTCATATTAGATGCTGAGAAGTCACTTGCTCCCAATCTCAAGTTTCTCCAATCCAGAGGAGCTTCAACCTCTGAGCTCACCGAGATTGTTTCCAATGTTCCTCGAATCTTGGGAATGAGATGGCACAAAGCTGTCGGCAGATACTATGATTTCGTCAAAGACATCGTAGAAGCAGACAAGAGCTCCAACTACGAAATGTCATGTCTTTCTATGCCAGAGGGTTCTTGCCAAGAGAATATCATCAAGAATGTGTTGGTTCTGAGACAGCTAGGCGTGCCTCAGAAGCTGTTATTCTCCTTGCTCACATCCAACTTCCATGTAGTCTCTGGAAAAGAAAGATTTGAAGAATCCGTCAACAAAGTTGTTGGGATGGGTTTCGATCCCACCACCTCGAAGTTTGTGAAGGCATTGTGCGTTATTTACCAAATGAGCGACAAAACAACTGAAGAAAAGGTTAATCTCTATAGAAAGTTAGGTTTTACTAAGGGAGATGTATGGGAAATTTTCAAGAAGAATCCATTGGTTATGGCACTTTCGGAGAAGAACATATTGAACTCCTTTCAAACATTTATAGGCCTAGGGTTCACCAGAGATGAGTTTGTGAGGATGGTCAAGTACTGTCCTCAGTGCATTGGGTTATCTGAAGAGTCTGTGAAGAAGAAGACTGAGTTTCTTGTGAAGGAGATGAACTGGTCACTAAAGGCTGTGGTTTCAAACCCTTCAGTGTTTGGATACAACTTGGAGAAGAGGACTGTGCCTAGGTGTAATGTGATCAAAGCTCTCATGTCTAGAGGACTGCTTGGAAGTGAATTACCTCCGTTGTCGCTTGTGTTAGCGGTTACTGATGAAGCTTTCTTGAACAAGTATGTGAGGAAGCATGATGATGACAAGGAGCTTGTGGCTGAGTTGATGGCTATCTTCACCGGAGAGATTGTGCCTCATAGATCTTCTTAAGGCTTGTCAAATACTTTGCTTTGTTATAGGTATCTCTGGGTGAAACAAAAAAAACTAATTGTTTACCTTTATAATCTCAGTTTAATCCATATCTTTTCTATACATTTTTTGGAAATTTAACAATTTAAAATGTAATATGAATCTCATTCCAATGCAGTGAAATGGAGAGGGACAGTTTCTTTTGTGGGGATTTTGGTCTTTGGAACTTCTGGATTGATCATTGAAAGCTTTAATTAGTAATTTGATTCCCTGAGAGGCTCTTCTCAAATTGATGATCTTGGTGTCTACTTTTCTGTTGCGTTTCATACATATTCTTGTAAGCTTATGGAACATTGTCTTGATCTTGAATATCCCGGATCCATTTAAAATACATTGTCTTGATTGAACATCATCCAAGGGATGTTGGTATACTCTGATAACTTGAAAGGCTGCTGAGCTTTTGCAATGAGAAGTTTTAGTTTTGAGATATATTAACATGATTTTCACTAAGTATCCACACTGGAGCTTATTTCTCTAGGGTTTGATGATACACTATCTTGCTTCTTTTTTGGCGTTTGCGTTCTTGTATATGCTTTTGTTTATGTGACTTAGGATATGGAGAATTTGCTTTGACAGGAAAGAAACATGCACATAGACTCACATTATTTTCTTGTGGTTTTAGCACATAGCGTATCAATATTTCTTGAGATTTTAGATTGCAGGCTATGTTACTTCAGAAATTCTTGGGAATTAGCACTCTTGAAAACTTCCAGCTTTTGTTACCCTCTAGCTATTACTCTGACGATGAAGTTTGAGGTCTGATTCTCTTTCTCAAAAGAAGTGAAATACTAAGCTTACAATCTATGAATCTTGTTTGACAAAGCTCTGTATGAAAATTGCAGGTTGAAAAATCGACGCAATCAAGCTCTTTAGAAGCGATGATGCATAACTCAAATGATATCCAGCCACTACTTGTTCTTGGTGAGCAGACAAAAGCATAACGGGAATGAAATCTTACCTCTCATGTGGGTGGGATCTATTCCTAAGTCCACACCACGCACCACCACAATGTAACACATGATTTCTCCACTTTGCTGCATCATTACATTTCAGTATACCCCGGAGAAGGCCTTTTCCATAAAAAAACAGAGCCACTACCTGCTTCTTCAGAATCTCTTTGGCTCATTGGTGAATAGTAATTTTTGGTTTCCAGCCTAAAAGGTTAGGCTTGGACGTGGAATATATATGAAATTGTTGAAGAAGTGATCTTCCATTATGAGTAACTCGGAGAAGAAGATAAGCCAGCCATTTGAAACCCTGAAGAAGTGTGGACTACTCATAAAAGTTAGCATCTCTTGAGGGTGAATCTCTTGGTACAGAAGAAAGTTTCAGAAGTTTGTGATTTTCATTTCTTCTTATGAACAATGAATCCAGGAAACTGCTTGAGAGACAGTGCAGTCACCTGTGTTGCATATATAGACTAAAGTTATGTTGGTTCACATTTCGTTTTGACAGTAACCAAATTACAGACTCTATTGTACGCATACATTGGTTTATGATTCGATAACAAAACTCAGTTGGATAGTAACTAAGTCGACCATATTAATATGGTTTTGCTCAGGTCCTGGTTTATTTGGTTGGTACCACGTGTTGTTAATGCGAATGTGAGATCCAAGTATACACAAAGTTGAACATACTGTAGTTTTCTTACGGTTTGGGGACACGTAACTCAAGTCTTCACTTGTTTCAATTGCAATTTATTCGTTTGCAGTTCATATAAACAATACGAAGGCGATGAAACTTATGTTTTCTAGATGCAAATGCAAAACCCACAATAAATGAAAATCCAGTTTTTAATGTTTGTACATGGTGATTGTTATTTTTTTTATTTATAGGCTTAATTACCTCAGAATCAGATGCATATAAGAAGCGACTTTGTTTGTGCGTCTGTTATAATATCAGATCAAGACTTGGCTTTGGCTTTGAAGATCTTATGATTTTTGAAACTCTTATGTTTTAAACGTTAAACACCAAACACAATAAAAAAGTAATGAACATCAATAAAAACATAAATAAACCAGAGGATTGGTCGGTTAGAGGGAGCAAAGTTGTTTTATTACGTTAAATAAATTCTCTGTTGCAAATTTGCATTTGGTCACGACAAAGCGATTCTTTTCTCACTTTTCTTTATCTTTGCCCTCGTACCTTGTTGTTGTGTCATATTAAAATGAAATATACATGATTAGAGATAGTTCTCATTTTATCAATTTAGACAAATTGATAATAGAAAACAAGACTCGAATATACAACATACACATCACTATCATTATTATCTCCAAATGTATTCTTTTTTAACAAGATAATTATCATCTCCAAACAAAGTATGGCCTCTCATATAATTTTGTTAGAGAGTCAGAACCTTTTTACTAATTATGAACCAAATATAGTCCAACCTATCATCAAAAATACTATTATGTTGTACCTTGCTTTATACAATGTCATAATAAGATGGTACTTTTGTATGCTACAGTACAAATTTCCTGAAAAAAATCCTACACATAAACCTGAAAATATTCAGTAAAAATTCAAAACTATTACAAAAGACAAATGTGCAAATACTAAAAACAAAAGAAAAAGAAAAGAAAAGAAAAAGAGTACTGACAAAAAGCCCAGAAATATCCTGAGTAGGACTCTCTTCTCTCACGCCTCCCCAAATAAAGAGAGAGCAGCCAAAAACCCTATTTAAAAAAAAAACGAAATTAAATGCTAACAAAAAGAAAAACAAATATAAATGAATAACATAAAACGAATTTAATAACTCTCCACCAACGTCCGTTTCAGCTTCAATCGAAGAAGACGAAGTAGAAGCATACACTTTGTGAGGAGTTAGGTTTTCTTTTCAATTCTCCTCGTAACGCTCACCGGAGACCATGGCTCGTCCTTCTTCGGCGTCTGCAACGGCCAAGCTTCCTTCAATCAAACCAGAGGATTACGCTCACAGTCCCGTCCACTACGCCGTCGTTTTGAGAGATCACGCTTCCCTCACCCGTATCCTCTCCTCCCTCCCCAACCTCGGAGATCCAGAGCAGATCCGCACCGAATCCGACTCACTGAGCCAAGAACGAGTCGCGGATCAGATCTCCGCCGTGCTCGACCGCCGCGACGTCCCCTCACGCGAGACGCCGCTCCATCTAGCGGTTAGGCTCAACGACGTGTTCGCCACGAAGGCGATTTCGTCCGCCGGCGCCGACATTTCGCTCCACAACGCCGCGGGATGGAATCCGTTACAGGAGGCCTTCTGTCGCCGGAATTCGGAGGTTATGAAAGTGCTTCTGAGGCATCACCACCGCTTGGCGTGGTGCAAGTGGCGGAGACGGTTACCGCGATTGATCGGTGTTCTCCGCCGTATGAGAGATTTCTACATGGAGATCTCTTTCCACTTCGAGAGCTCCGTGATTCCCTTCGTCGGCAAAATCGCTCCCTCTGACACTTACAAGATCTGGAAACGCGACGGAAACCTCCGCGCGGACACTACATTAGCCGGATTCGACGGGTTGAAGATCCAGCGCGCCGATCAAAGCTTCCTTTTCCTCGGAGACGGTGACGAATCTCTCGACATCTCTCCCGGTTCGTTGCTCGTACTAAACCGAGACGATCGTAAAATCCTAGACGCGTTTGAGAGTGCCGGGGCTCCGATTAGCGATTCGGATATCGCTGGATTCTGTTCTCAGTCCAGCTTGTACCGTCCGGGGATGGATGTTACTAAAGCGGAGCTCGTGGGACGAATGAATTGGCGGCGGCAAGAGAAGATGGAGAGCGTTGGAGATTGGAAAGCTAGGGTTTACGAGATTCAGAAAGTTACTTTCAGTTTCAGGTCTCGGAAAATCGTTAACGATAGCGAAAGCGAACAGGTTCAGCCTCTGGAGCTGGACGAAGACGACGACGGGTTTCTAGTGGCGGAGAATCCGAGTTTCTTGGCTCCGCAACGGTCACAGAGACGGCACAGTAGCTTTGTGAACGAAGACAGAGATTGGATTTCCGTTGGGAGAAAAAGCGTCGACGTCTATCCCTCCGCCGTGCCACCGCCGCAATTCCAGCCTCCGAGAAGATCAGTTGCTCAATTAGAGCCACCGAGAAGATCAGTGGCCGTACCTTCAACCGCAGCACCACCGCAATTCCAGCCTCCAAGAAGATCAGTAACTCAGTTCCAGCCGCCGAGAAGGTCAGTGGCCGTGCCATCAACGGTGTCTCCGGTGAATCCTCTGCCGTCTCCTCAGATCAAAGAGAAGGAATTCGTCAAGAGCTTGCATCCGTCTGTTTGGTTAACTGACCAGTTTCCGTTAAAGACGGAAGAGCTGCTTCCGTTGCTCGACATCTTAGCTAACAAAGTGAAAGCAGTCGCGAGGATGCGTGAGCTCCTCACCACCAAGTTCCCGCCGGGAACTTTTCCAGTCAAGGTAAATTAAAAAGGGCATTATCGTCAATATCGCTTTTCAGTTTGTTACTCTTTTTAGGCTCTGCCTAAGCTACCAACATTACGACCGTTAGACCCAATGAGTCAAACTATCTGACGTGGTATTTTCTCATTGGGCATAGTCTGATATGCGTTTATGACTTTACCACGTCGATAGTACGGTGACGTGACGAATCACGGATGGGTCAGGGGGGAACCAAAGCTGTTGATTTACTTAGGGACCCATTTTTTGCTATTTTAGATCTTTAATTTTGGGAAATTGTGCTTAAACAACTTAAAATCTCTTTTTTTTGTGAATTTCGTTTTCTGATAAGCAAATTTTTTTTGGTGGGATTCAGCTGTCTATCCCGGTGGTCCCGACGGTTAAAGTAGTCATCACATTCACCAAGTTCGTTGATCTTCCACCAGCGGAGCGATTCTATACTCCACTCTCAAGCCCCAGATTCCTCTCCTGTCCAGACCAATCTGATGACAACGAAGAAAAAGCAGACGCTCGGAATTCAACCTCGCGGCCGTCGTCGTGGCTGAGACGCGCAGGATTAGGCTCACAGTCACAGCGGAGGATAGAGGAGGAGGAGCAACAAACACCGGACCCGTTTGCTATACCTATCGGGTATAAGTGGACAAGCATGAAGAATAACAATAAGTCCGATACTAAAATGAAGAGATCAAGGTCAACTAAGAGATCTAAATAAAAGAAATATAATCTCTATTATTTCTTTTTGTTGTTGTTCTGGTAGATAAATCGGAAATTAGTAAGTAATCAATATAGAGGAATTATTTCTGGATGTAGTTTTTTTTCGTTTACTATACATTTTATTTTTTATTTTTTTCTGAAATGGCTATAAGATTCAAATGCTGTCATTTTCACTCTTTTTAACTTGGTCATGGTCTAAAGAGTCTAATTATAAAAGGTTTTAAATGAATGCATCAGCTAAAGTAAAAAAATAAAATAAAGACGAAGAAAATAGCTGTGTTCATGCTTTTATTTATGGGCCAACATAGGTTACCAAACGTTGAATTAACTTTTCTATATACCAAAACAATACAGTATATATATTTCTTGGTATTCTGTTCTAAAGTTCGAACGAATAACATTTGATAAAGCAATAATGAATGTTCTGCTTTAGGTTACATAAAGACGCAAAATCTTATTCTCGGTATGATAAACTGAAAGACTTAGTACATAATTAGAGGGTCTCGGAAACTTGGAGATGAAGGTAATAACGTGGAACGTGCTTTTGTAGATTTGTGACACTTTCATTTTTCATAGGATGTACAGTATGTCGCAAGAAAGTTTTATTTTGATTTTCTTATAAATTAAAATTGCAACACAAGATGAATATGTCACATGGAATGGGACATGTATAGATAAAACAAGACCTACATCTTATGCTTTAAACCTAGATATTCGAAAACAACGTTTGCTTTGCAAGTCGGAAACGAACAAACTTTGAGGAAGTTAAGTGCATCCAAAGACAAATCCCAAAACTACAATACTAAAAAATTAATAAATATAAAGATTTGAAGTTTGAACCCTGAGAAACAAAAGGACAACCTAAATAATAGTAATAATAATTTACGACACTTTTTTGCTCAATAATTTACAATATAACAAAAACTGAAGAACAAACTCTTAATCTAATAGTCTTCCGCATTCATTTTGCTAATATCAAAAATCTCCTTTCTTCTCCAATGAACTCTGAACAACATTAAAGTTACATAAACCTTTTTTTTCTTTAGTTAATTTAGAATTTAGAAGTATCATTCATTTTTGATCCATACGGACCATACCCATAAAAACAAGTAATATGTATTTCAAGATGTTTATATTACTTTTATTTGATTGATTCAAGATTTGGAAATGAAATGTTGCACTAAGATTTTCGACTATTTTAAGTTTGTGAAAAGATATGTTGAGATATGATAAGTGATGCACCAAGTTGCGCAGATCAGCAAGGATTGAGGAACCTTAGGGATCAGAGAGATGTTGGAGGAAGAGAAAACCAAAAGTGAGGCAAGAATTCCGGCAAGGCCAATCGGGAATTAATAAAGCAAAGATTGTAAGTGGATGGAGAATCTTGTTGTCCTGATTTATTCTTGTGTTGAGTATAGCCTGTATAGGTTACTTATACAAATTTTGTTGAATCCTAAATCCGGGAATATGTGGTTAGAAAATTTAGTTAGATGTTTATGTGGGATTAGAGGAGGTCAAAGGTTTCGTTTATTAAAGTGTAATCTGAACTGAAAGTAAATACAAAAAACACGTCGCCAGATGAAAAAACTAGAAAAAGATGTTATTGCTACTTTCTCTCACTAAGCTCTCTTTTTTCTCCTCTTTCTTTACATTGAATGCTTTTTCTATTTATACTCGCTCAAGATTCTTTCTTCTATCCTTCGGTAGATATGTGCCAGAGAATTGATTTGGCGTCCATCATTGCTTGGTTGCTTGAGCTGATTTTTTTATCTATTATCGGCGGTTGGTGCGGCCTACGCGCTAGATCTCTATTCATCGTGTGCGCCGCGGGTATTCCTCATGTCGACTGGGTTTCTGAATGGGCCTTGTTGTTTTGATGCTCAACTCGCGAGTGGGCCGACGGTCCATCCTCCAACAATAGCCCCCCCCACAGTCCAGCGCGTGGATACGCGTCGGGCGTCATCATTTAGTTTTTAAGTGAGTTGAGTAGGTGAGCACGCTTTCGACACGTGTTGATTTTCTAATGGCTTTCTCTCTTCGTGAATTGCGTCCGCTATAATGGGTCACCGATTTCCGTTGCTTGAGATCCTTAAATCACATCGATAGACATCGGAGCCTGTCATTATGCCGCTCTGCTTTCTCCACTATTTCATGTGTCTTACTTATTGCTGTGTTAATCCGATACTGATGCTTCCTCTCTCTTTAAAAGGTATTCTTTCTCCCTTTGTTTTTGACGGTATTATTTGTAAGGTTTCTTTGCTTGATATTTTTCGCGATTTCATCGTCAATTTCTCTAACTTTTTCTTCTTCCGATGGATTATTGTTTTGAATCGTTAATTAGGACCACTGAAATGGCGGATGTTGAAGAGGTTCTTCGTTTGTCGTTGACTTCCGATGCTGTTCTTCCGTTGACGCCTCTCTTACTTCCTCCAGGAGCGACTGATTATGTGCCTCCGGTAGTAGTTTCTTTTGTCGCGGAGCCCGGTGGACATGTTGATTCTATAGACGCTTTGCCATCGCCCGTTCCCGGTGATCATTCCGGTGAAGATTCTGGGGAAGATTCAGGTGACGATCCCGTCAAAGATAATCAGGGGATCGTGGAATCCTCTCTTGTTGATGAGGATGCCTTGAAGCGCATGCGAAGCAGGTGAGGCTTTTCTGAGGAGATTGAGATGCGGAGCAGACGTGATATAGCTATCACTCAGATGTCCCCGGCCGCGATCCGTAGTATGGTGGTTGCTCTGGTCCTTGGTGCGAAAGCGAATATTGACGTTAACACCGAGTTTTTCAAGATGATTTTTCAAATAAATATGATAACGGACGAGACTTTCTCCGTTAGCATTAAGGCTCGTTGTTGTCTCGTGGCTGGCTGGGGGCCGTCTAAGGCTGACAGGTGGCAACATAAGTATTTCTTCTTATCTTTGTCGTCGATTTCTCTAGCTTTTTCTTCTTCTGATGGATTATAGTCTTGAATCATTAGTTAGGATCCCTGAAATGGTGGATTTCAAAGAGGTTCTTCGTTCGTCGTTGACTTCCGATGTTGTTCTTCCGTTGACGCCTCTCTTACTTCCTCCGGGAGCGACTGATTCAGCGCCTCCGGTAGTAGCTTCTTCTGTCGTGGAGCCCGGTGGACAGGTTGATTCTATGGACGCAGTCGCCCGTTCTCGGCGATCATTCCGGTGATGGTTTTAGAGAAAATTCAGGTGACGATCCTGTCGAAGGTAATCAGGGGATCGTGGAATCCTCCCTTGTTGATGCGGATGTCTTGAAGCGCATGTAGAGTAGGTGCGGTTTTTCTGAGGAGATTAAGATGTGGAGTAGGTCGCGGTTGTGGTTCCCGGTTCCTCGATTGCTTACTTCCTATGCCCAGGGACGAGATACAGCTATCTCCCAGATGTCCCCTACCGCCATCTGTAATATGGTGGTTTCTCTTCTCCTTGGTGCGGAAGCGAATGTTGACGTTAACACCGAGTTTTTCGAGATGATTTCTCAAACAAATATGATAACGGACGAGACTTCCTCCGTTAACATTAAGGCTCGTTGTCGTCTCGTGGCTGGCCGGGGGCCGTCTAAGGCTGACATGTGGCAACATAAGTATTTCTTCCCTCGTATAAATTATGCTTCTGTGGCTGATTCTTCTGCGGTTTTTAGGACTGAATGGAATTCGCGACCTGGTAGCTTGTTTGTCCTCTGATTTTGGTTGTCCTTGTCATTGGATTTTACTGATCCCTGAGTTTGTTTTTCTTTTTAGTTGTTCATAAGATTAACTGGCCTCTTCCATTGTGGGCGAGTGATAATTTGGATCTGATTCGCCGTCCCGGGGTGGTTTCTTGGGGAGATATTACGGCTGAGCGTGTTCGTCGGAGTATCCCTCGCATCAACGCTTCTTAGTTTGATCGTTATTGGTTCTTCTCGTCACTCATATTTTTCTTTATTCCTGTTTGGTTTTTCAGCTTTTTGCGGGGCTGGTTCTGGATCCTCCTTGGCTGCTGATTCTTCGAAGAGAAAGCGAGAAGTCCCGTCAGCCAAGAAGATAGGGAAGGTTAAGAGGAGAATTCATGAATATCATGTTGTTATTATGGAGTCGGTTTCTGGGGCCCTTGTTGTTACTCGAAGGGTGACGTTTCTTCTTTTGCTGCTTTGACTACTATCACCGATCCTCCTGCTTCTACTACGCTTTCTTCTTGCGGTGAATTGGGGGTAGTAATGAGAGAGCACCGTTGGTTGATTCCTCCAAACTTGATGTCCCGGTGGTCTCTCTTCCGACGGTTGCTTCTTTTTCTGGTGCTTCTTCTGCTGAGGGTGAAGTGGTGAAAGATGCCGCTGAACGGGCGTCGTCCGATGGTTCCCAGAAGAGGAAGGTAATTTCTTCTGACGACTCTGATCATTCCTTGGTGACGCCTGAGGAATGTGCGCGCCTTCTCTATGGTTTCCGGCTACCGTCAAGTTCCATGTTCCCCCCCAGGATCTGCTCTTCGCTCGGGAGTTCACGGATTGGGCTTCGATCGAGGCTCAGGTATGTATTTTTGTCTTATTCTTCTTATCTTTGTTGTATGTTTCTTATTACAGGGATTTTGTCGTAAGGCAAAAAGAGGGGAAATCATCTGTGCGGTCTATATGATCGAAATGCAAGCGTCTTTTGGGCGAGTTTGAATCAGAGCGTCGTCGTTTGACCGAGGAGAGGGAGAGGTCATCCAACGCATTTTTTCTATGAAGGATTTGGAGGATGCATTGTCGAACCTTGATTCCGATAATCAAGGTTTGAAGGCTGAAGTGAAGCGCCTCGAGGAAGACATCGCTGAGCGTGGTTTCCGAGAGGAGGAGCTGTTATTTCAGAAGTCGGCTATGGAGGTCGAGGTGACGCGTTTGAAGGATTCTCTCAAGGGGTCAGCAGAGTTGGAGAGGCGTCGCGTTGTGTCCGTTATGTCTACTCGTTTTGGTAATTTTGTGGAGAAGGTGAGGAAGTACCTGTCTGATCGGGATGTTGTTCGCCCCCAAGTTTTGATTGAGACTCATTTTTCAGGGGTCGTTAGTTGTCTCAAGCTGTTTCTCGAGGAAGGGAATCCCGTTCCTGAGGAGAAGTTGACCGAGAATGACCAGGCTTTATCACGTCAGTCGGCTGTTTTGGACCAGATGGACGTGCACGAGCTGAGCCTGGAAGATCTTCCATTTTTCTCTTTGGACGAAGACTTGACCGACTAGTTGCTATGTTGTTCCTTGTTTTCTTTCGAACTATCAATGGTCCTTCGGAATTTTTCGTATGTAAAATATTTGGAGTAAAAAACGATTCCTTATCTGGTTTCAGAGTTTTGTTTGTCCTTTCGTGTTTTTGTACGAGGGAGAAGTTTTTTTGCGTTTGTTCTCCTATGGTATCTCCGTTCTGGTTTCTGGCTTGGATAATTCCTTTGTTTTTTCCTTGAGTGACGTCTTATCTGGTCTTTGATCAGTGTGTTTCACAAGTTTGACCTTGGCTTCATTGTCAAATCGGGGTTTTTACACCCTTCACCGAGGATGTTTCTTTTTTTAGGTGGAGAGCGGGGCTCGGCCCGGCTTACCCCCTGTAAGGTAGGACCGAGATAAGTGCATGAGCGAACTCGATGCAGCCTATCCGATCTCTGATCCGTGCGAATCTGGCCTCGGCTTCATTGTCGGGTCGAGGTTTTTACACCCTTCACCGAGAATGTTTCTTCTTTAGGCGGAGAGCGGGACTCGGCCCGGCTTACCCCTTGTAAGGTAAGACCAAGATAAGTGCATGAGTGAGCTCGATGCGGCCTATACGATCTCTGATCCGTGCGAGTTTGGCCTCGGCTTCATTGTCGGGTCGAAGTTTTTACACCCTTCACCGAGAATGTTTCTTCTTTAGGCGGAGAGCAGGACTTGGCCCGTCTTACCCCCTATAAGGTAGGACCGAGATATGTGCATGAGCTAGATCGATGTGGCCTATCCGATCTCCGACCCATGCGTGTCTGGCCTTGGCTTCATTGTCGGGTCGGGGTTTTTACACCCTTCACCGAGAATGTTTCTTCTTAAGGCGGAGAGCGGGACTCGGCCCGGCTTACCCCATGTAAGGTAGGACTGAGATAAGTTCATGAGTGATATCGATGCAGCCTATCCGATCTCTGACCCGTGCGATTCTGGCCTCGGCTTCATTGTCGGGTCGGGGGTTTAACACCCTTCACCGAGAATGTTTCTTCTTTAGTTTTGTTGCGGCTGCACCCTTCTCGTGGGCTGCCTACGTACCGTGGGGATATCAAGCTACACGTAGTTCATTCATCTATATATATACGTTCATTTAGGTGGTTCGTTCTTCCCGTGGATGACGTCGTAGTCGGGGTGTTTCGGGCGCTTGATAGCATGGTGTTTATAGCGGCGTTAGTTGGTGGGCGTGTACTCCCTACGTTAGTTTGAACACTTTTTCCGATATCGGCCGTTTTCTTTTCCGCCGTCGCTCCTGTGGGTTGTCGCTCACTTGTTTTAACCGGGGGTTGTCAGCTGGATGAGGTAGACATCCTTTGCTCGTGATTTTCACTTCGTGCGTTAGAAACCTTTAGGCCCCATGGTGGGCGCCAATTGTTGAATCCTAAATCCGGGAATATGTGGTTAAGAAACTTAGTTAGGTGTTTATGTGGGATCAGAGAGGGGTCAAATGTTTCGTTTATTGAAGTGTAATCTGAACCGAAAGTGAATACAAAAAACACATCGTCAGATGACGAAACTCGAAAAAGATGTTATTGCTACTTTCTCTCCCTAAGCTCTCTGTTTTTCTCCCCTCTCTTTACATTGAATGCTCCTTCTATTTATATACTCACTCGAGATTTGTTCTTTTATCCTTCGGTAGGTATGTGTTAGAGAGTTGATTCGGCATCCATCATTGCTTGGTTGCTTGTGCTGATTTTTGGTCTATTATCGGCGGTTGGTGCGGTCTACGCGTTAAGTCTCTGTTCATTACGTGAGCTGCATGTATTCCTCATGTCAACTGGGCTTCTGATTGGGCCTTGTTGTTTTGATGCTCCATTCGCGAGTGGGTCGACGACCCATCCTCCAACATTAGTTAGGTGTTTATGTGAGATTAAAGAGGGGTCAAAAATTTTTTTTATTAAAGTGTAATCTAAACCGAAATGAATACAAAGAACACGTCGTTGGATGACGAAACTAGAAAACGATGTTATTGCTACTTTTTCTCTCTAAGCTCTCTTGTTTTTCTCCCTTTTCTTTACAGTGAATGCTCCTTCTATTTATATTTGCTCGAGATTCGTTCTTCTATCTTCTGGTAGGTACGTGTCAGAGAGTTGATTCGGTGTGCATCATTGCTTGGTTGCTTGTGCTGAATTCTGTCTATGATCGACGGTTGGTGCGGCCTATACGCTAGATCTATGTTCATTGCGGACGTCGCGGATATTCCTCCAGTCGACTGGACTTCTGATTGGGTCTTGTTGTTTTGATGCTAACTCACGAGTGGGTAACGGTCCATCCTCCAATAATTTTGGATCGAGGTTTTAATTGTCTAAGGATCTCGCTGGGTTAGTGTCAATAAGTGCTGTCGGCTTTTTGCTGGGTTTGTGCTGAGAGTAAGTGTCGTTAGTCTTTGCTGGGCATCGACAGAAAATTAGGATTTGTGTTTATTGGCGCCGTCGGATTTCCTAGTCGCTTTAGCGTTGCTGATCAAAATTTTTAGGATTAAAAATGTTTCACATCTGAATTCTAATGTTTTGTTTAAGTCTTTTTCTACATTTTTGGAGACTCAAACAACTATGTAATTCTTTTATTTTCATTTGTGAATATTTACCATTTAGCAAAAAAAAAACCCCACAAGAGGTGATACTCTAATTCTTGAGAATTAAAAGAAAAACTCCTGTTTAGAAAAAAAAGGAAAAACTCCTTTTCTTCTATAGATCTTAATACATCAATGAATTTTTTCAGAAATATCATTTTCTAGTAAAAGTGTAAAAACCAATCTTAGAAAAAGAAAAATAAAATTCAAAGCAACATTTACATATGACCAGTCCAAAGCAACATTTACAAATGATCAGTCCAAAGCAACATAAAGAACTTCTCTTTATTCAGAGAGCATAATAGCAGATATATATACACACATGAAAACACCAAAAGTAGACAAATTTAAACCAAACCAAAAGTGTTCTCTCCACTGTAAGTCATGTAGAGAAACCCATCTTCGTCTTTGTTCTCATCATAGATTGCAGACATCATTGCAGCTGCAACAACAAAAAAAACCAATAAAACAATTCATCTTTGTTACAAGTTTTCGCATATTAGCACCAGCTTTATGCTAAGAGTTGTATTATTTACCAGTTGGAGGTAATGTGTTTTTCACAAAGACAAAGATTGCCTTTTCCGCACTCAGCTTGATTCTTTTACGGACAACATACACAAATTGCCCCACGGTTAGATCAGCCGGTACAAGATACCTGAATCATACAAACCCAAAAGTCACAGATCAACAAGACAGAGTTCAAAGGCATTCTTTTCTCTTCAGAGTCACAAAGTAAAAGAAAGATTTGACGAATGCATAAGTTGCCAAGTAAGATAACTATTACAGACTTTTTCTTGTCGATATTGGGAACATCACTTCTCTCAGCTTTCTCTACAATCACCTGCAGCATGTACTTCCTATGTTAAAAGAAGAGAGATACATAGAAGAATATACACATCAATCAATGTGTTAAAAAGGTATTTACTGGAACTCTATCTGGATACTTGTCCCTGATGCGAGAAGCTTCAATCTGTCTCCTCTCTGACATTACAAAACCCCAAAAATAATGGATTGTGAAAGAACACATTAGTGATTGATCAATCTTAATCAAGTCTATCTTACAATCCATGTGAGATGGGTTTTGTGAAATATCAATACTTTCTAACAAAAGTAACAAGAAGAAGGGAAGATGAACGATTACCGAGTGTGTGTTCCGACTTGAAAGAGACATTAGCCATTGCCATTGAGAATCGAATCTCTGAAATCCAAAACAACAAATCAATCAACACGACAACAAAAGAAGAAGATCAATACGAATTGAAATCTGATGTTTGATTAGCAAACTCGCGAGATTGAGTCATCAACTACGAGATTAGGGAGAACACACCAAAGATTAGGGCTTCTATTGCAGACACTAGAAAAGAATCAAAGCGAAGATTCGCGAAACGGTTTCAAAAAAAAAAAAGGATAATTCCCAAAGGATGAAACTTTCGTCTTCAACGCCTTTTTGTTGTCGCTCTACTAGTTAACCGGAAATCTATACCGGAATATGGTTTAGATCACTTTCGATTGTTATACATTCTTCTTTGTGTCACCCATTAATGACACAATATAAGGATTATTAACATAAAAACCCCTCAACTAAGTTTGTTTTGGGTAAAAATCCCTAAACTAAGTATTTAATGAAAATACCTCAAACTAATTTTATTTAATGAATTAAACCCTCGCCGGTCATAATTACCAGTACTACCGGTAAATCTTTAGTTTAGAAAATTTATCATTAAACATAAAAATTCAAAAAAAAGAAAAAAAATCAAAATATAATAACATTATCAAAAAATTCGTAATTTTAATTTTCAAAACTAGCATTTTAAAATTTTTCTGTAAATATATGAATGATTTCTTATCCTTGTTAAATGGATTTTTAATTCTAAAATACCTTAACTAAGTTTGTTTTAGGTAAAAACCCCAAACTAACAAGTAAACCCCCATATTAAACATAGTTGAAGGGTTTTTATCATTTAAAATCTAAAAAAAAAATTATAACATTATCTAAAAATTAGTAATTTAAATTTTTAAAATTAGCATTTTGCAAACTTTCTGTAAATATATGAGTTTGATTCGTTTTAACATCAATATTATATATATAGATTAAAATTTTAAAACACCAAAATATAATAAAAAGCATCTAAAGATTTATTATTACATTTTTATTAAATAAGATATAATTTTTTTCTGTTTACTTGTTTTTATATTTATAAATTTTGCTAATTTTTATTACAGGTAAATCTTAGATAAATTTTCTTATATTTTCTTGGCTTTTACATTTTAAATTTATACATATATAATTTTGATTTTAAAAGGATAACAAATCAGACTCATATAGTTACAATTTTTTTTTAAAAATGCTAATTTTTAAAATTAAAATTACAAATTTTTAAATAATGTTATTATATTTTGATTTTTAATGATTTTTATGTTTAATGATTAAACCCCTAAACTGAAGATTTACTGGTAGTACTGGTAATTATGACCGGCGAGGGTTTAATTCACTAAATAAAGTTATTTTGGGGGTTTGTTCATTAAATACTTAGTTTAGGGGTTTTTACCCAAAACAAACTTAGTTGAGAGGGTTTTATGTTAAAAATCCTATATAATACTAGTGGTTTTCGTTACGCCCGGATTTTCTTATATAAATTTTAATTTAATTTAATTTATTATATTAATTTTGAATATATACCTATATATCGATTTTAAAAATAGAAATCATAAATAAAGTTTAAATTATTAAACTGTAAATGAACTAATATTGACATTAGATATTATATGTTTTCTGTTTTAATTATTCTTGATTTTAAATAAATTTACACGATATTTGATCAAAACTGTAATATCTAGATGGGATAATTTGGTTATTATTTGATGAACTATTTTTTGACACACTTATGTATTTAATAATATCTTTGTATAGATAATTGTTTTATTCTTCAAATTTCTGACAATGTCTATTATAGTATTTTTTAACAAAATTTTGTTTTTGATGTTGAAGCGAGTAATATTTTTCTCCAGTTTACTGAACAAAAAACTATAAAATATCATACTTGATAATTCAAATTTATATAACTTTATATTTATTAATTTTGTTTAAAATTTTATAACTTTTCTAAAAAAATAATTGTATATTTATTTTTGGAAACAAGCGTATATTAAAGTAATGTATAATAAATTTTGTAATATAATCATTTATAACTACAATAATGCTACTACACTGAGTCTATAATACTTATAGTTTAAAAAAAAATTATATACTGAAGTTTTTGTAAACTTACACACATTACCAATGCTTGCATGATATCTTGATAATTAATACAATTTTGCTTCTTGAATAATTATAGTAAACATGTGATAACATTTAGTGGGGGTTACTGATTCCACTATTTTCATGGATTTAGAAAAACATTTGGATTTAGAAATCTTTGTTAAATCATATGATTTAAAATCGAGCAAATAGATTTAAGAATCAAGGATCTTGGTTTCAAAATGAAAATAGCTTTTTACGGAAATCAAAGATATCCAAATCTTTGATAAATCATATGATTTTAAATTCGAGCAAATAGATTTAAGAATCAAGGATACTGATTTCAAAATGATTTTAATTGTTTTTCGTTTTTGTTTTTTTACTTTCGGTTTTAGAATCGTTGTGTAATTCAGTTTTTCCTCATTTTGGTTTGAATCTTGTTTGAGCTTTTTCTTTTCTTTTAAACTCTTATTTTACGGAAATCTTTTGGAAATCAAGGATATTAATTTCAAAATAAAAATAGATTTAAGAATCAAGGATATTTATTTTAAAATCGAGCAAATATATTTAAATCAAGGATATTTATTTAGATATTTCATATTTAGAGATATGAAAGTTGTCATCTATCTTAAAGAATAGGTTGAAAGTGAGAATTATCTTTTTTTTAATTTACTGGACTAAAATATTTATTAAAAATCAGATCATTTGTAAAAATCAATAAAAAATTTAAATAAAATAAAATAATTGGATCTAAAACACTTTCAACAAATGATAGAATGACAAGTATCATCTTTTGCCTCTATGGAGAGAAAAACCTCTATTTTATTATATAAGAGATGTATAAATATTTATTTTTGAAAAACTTATGAAATATTTTATAACTAATAAATCATATATCACAATTACAATATAAATGCATATATAACATTAATAGAAAGAAACTAAATGTAAGTACATTGTAAAAAAAATCACATTAACTTATATATATATATATCATTTGTTCATAAATAAAAATATATATTATTTGTAAATTTTCATTAAAATAGAAAACTAAAAAAATAATAATGAAATAGAAAATTTATTTAAATTCAAATTTTTATTAGCATTTATTGGTTTATTAAGTAAGCTAAAATTTGTTAAATATAATAAATATAAAAACATCATTAAAAGAATGTGACACATGGCAATTTTTTCCCCTATGGAGAAAAAAAATCTAATTTATTATATAAGACACCCCTCTGTTTTTAGTGTTAGTTTTATTTTTTTCCAAAAAGTGGCATTTTACGTTTTCAAAAACAACTTATTACATATATTAAATTTATTTCTGTTTTTGTTTTGAATAACCAATAATTTTTTTACTATCATTTTTATTTGATTTATTATACATTAAATAAAATTATATTAATTTACTATACAGTTTTTTTGAACTCCGTAAATTGTATCGAAGTTTAAGAACCAAAACGACTATATTGATAAATGAGAAAACGGCCAAATATAAAACAAACATACATGCCAGCTACGTCCCATCAGTTAATGTAATGTTAGTTATAAGATAATCTCTAAGGTTTTATGCGAGAGGTTAAAAAAATGTTCTACCAGATAGGATCTCATAAATCCAATCAGCCTTTGTTGCTCGGAGACAGATTTCTGACAATATTATGATTGCTCAAGAGATGTTTCATGCCTTAAGAACCAAACCGAGTGGTCGCAACAAGAGGATGGCCATTAAAACATACATGAGCACGGCATATGATAGGATGGAGTGGTCCTTCATTGAAGCTACCATGAAAAAGATGGGTTTTCAAAAATTTGGATAACATGGATTATGCGTTGAGTAACATCAGTCAAGTATAAGGTTCTTATGAATGGCCAGTCAAGAGGGAATATTGTCCTGGAGAAAGGTCTGCGGCAGGGGGATCCTCTGTCCCTTTTCATTTTTATTCAATGCACGGAAGCGCTTGTTAGCCTTCTTAATCATGCAGAGAATCAAGGGAAGATAACGGGGATGCGCATCACGCTTGCGTGTGTCCTTCGATATCTCATCTTCTCTTTGCTGATGATAGCCTGTTATTTTGTAAGGCGGTGCCCCGTGAATGTGAAGAAGTAATGAAAGTAGTCAGGAAATATGGACAAGCTTTAGGACAATGTATTAACTTTGATAAATCCTCCTTATTCTTTGGTAAGATAATCGGTCATGATGTTATGTAAGAGATTAAAAACACACTTGGGATTCAGAATGAAGGAAGGATGAGAACATACTTAGGAATTCCAGAGGATATCAGTGGTTCTAAATGCAAGCTCTTTGCTTTTCTAAGGGATATGCTAAGGAATAGAGTAAATGGATGGACATGCAGGTGGCTATCAAAAGGTGGCAAAGAAGTTATGATCAAGTCGATACTGCTAGCCCTTCCAACTTATGTAATGTCATGCTTTCTACTTCCGTTGGAAATTTGTGATAAGTTAGCTAGTGCCACTGCACAGTTCTGGTGGAGTTTGAACCCCCCAAAAAGAGGTTACACCGGACAAAATGGGATAAATTATGCTTATCTAGAGAGGAAGGAGGGATTGAATTCCGAATGATTCATGAGTAACCTGGCGTTACTATCAAAGAAGTTATGGAGATTGGTCCAATACCCAGATTCGCTGGTAGCTCGAGTCTTGGGAGGCCATTCCTATTGATTGAGCTCACCCTTGCGTAAGCTTACTGTCAGTAGTCCATCGTATGTGTGGACAAGTATATCGGCGGCACAAGAATTACTATTGCTGGGAGTTAGACAATAGATACATTCGGGCTACGAGATGAAAGTATGGGAGGATCATTGGATTCCTACCATACCAGCGAGACCAACATCCCCATATGCACCGGTTTTGCATCCGAACATGAGAATGAGTGATATAATTAATCAAGAAACAAAGACTTGGGATGTGGGTCGGCTGGAGAACTATGTAGCTGCTGTTGATATACCAATCATAAGGAATATGGCCATTAGTTCGACACATCGCTGGGACATGTACTGCTGGAGCTATACAAGTAATGGCAGTACACAGTCAAATCTGGATATTGGGTTGCACAAAATATTTTGATTAAGGAAGAAAAGGCTGAAGTTTGTGGACCTAGTATCACAAAACACCAAGCACATGCTTGGAAGGTAAAG